TTTTGTTTTCAAAAATAAGCTTTTTTTTATTTTTTTAATATATTATTTCTATTATTATTATTAATCATATTATTATTAATATTTGTTTCTTTTTTTCTGTTATTTTGCATTTTATTATGTTATTATTATTATTATTATTATTACTATTTGTTCTTTTAGTATTAATATTATTATTATTAATCATATTATTATTAATGTTTTTTTCCTATTTTTATGCTATTTTACATTTTGTTCTGCTAATATTATTATTATTATTATTATTATTATTATTATTATTGGTTCTGTTTGTATTAATATTTTCTGTTTTTTTTTCATTTTTTAATATTATTATTATTATTACTACTATTATTATTATTATTTAATAAATATTATGTTCAAAAAATAAAAAATCCTATTTTTTTAAAAAGAATTCAAGGTAGTACGAGATCAATACAAATTATTTGAAACTCGTATTATCAAATACGTTTTTTTTATATACATAACTAAAATTATGTTACATAACACTATTTTAGTCAAATTTGTACTTTCAAGATTTTATTGTGAGATACTATTTAATCTATTTTAATCAAATTAAAAAATTTTGACCCCTTTAGATAAAATCAACAATTTTTTTCCCTGTTTAATAAAAAAAGTCGACCATTTCTCCTTTGACCGTAGCACAATAGTGTGTTGAAATAGTTTGAGTTGAGTTTATACGACTCTACAGTAATATCATCTGAAGTAACATGATTTTGTTTTACAGGATACGAGAAAGTAGTCTAAATTTACACGATTTCTTTGAGTAGGCAATTTCGCGTGACCCATTTGCTTGTAAATAAGAACGTAATCCAACTAATTTAATGCATTAGATTGAGAAACATTAAGAGAAATATTTTCGTATATTTTGTCAAATAAATAGATTTTATGTTGATTACAATTGAATATGATTAAGAACCAATTATTCAAAATATTATTAATGAAAAAAATGATGACATACATTTTAACGATGAATACAATATTTTTATCTTATTAAAAATATATATTTTTTTATTTTTTATTATATATTAAGAAATTTTATTATTTAAAAAAAATAAGAAAATATTGTATTATTATTTTTTTATTTAAAGATTAACATATTATTAATATTTAATATTTTATTATATTTTTATTATATATATATATATAGTACATGAATAAAATAAATATATATTTATTTATTTATGAAATATATTTTATATATTAGAAATACAGATCCTACAAATTATTATCATGTTCATTCCACATATTCTATTGGAAACTTCTTCTTTATATTTACGAATTTTTTTTTCAAACTAATATTAAAAAAATGATTATTTACGAAAATAGATCCTCCCATTTTATTTACCAAAATAAACTTATTTATTGTAAAAAAACGAATTTTGAATAGGAATGTGTCACAATGAAAGATGCAATGCAGTTCTGCGGGAATCAAATCATGAATTGTATCTTATTTTTATATATATTTATATTTATATATTTTTTATATTTATAATATATATATATATATATATATTAATATTAATGTATTTATATATATATATATATATATATATATATATATATATATTTATATAAATTTATTTATATTTATACTTATGTATTTATATATATATATATATTATATAAATTCATATTTATTAAATATATATATAAAAATAAAAATCCATATCTTATTATTAAATCTTTTATATATATATATATATATATTTAATTAAAATATATTTATATATTTTAATATTTGTATACAATTAATAAATATTATATAATAAGATATTTAATAAATATATATTTATATAATTATATATATATATATATATTTAATTAATACATATTTATATATTTTGATATATTTAAATATTTAAATATTTGTATACAATTAATAAATATTATAATAAATACATATATTTGTATATTTAATAAATACATATTTATATAATTATATATTTTTATATTTAATTAATATATATCTATATATGTATATTTTTGTATTTTGTAGATATTTATAGTAATGATATAAAATATTAAAAGTTCATATATTAATGATACTTAATTGAAACATTAAGTGTTAATATCAAACCCAAATAAATTAGAAATAATACAAAATAAATAAAAATTGAAATTTATTTTATAAATCGTGAGATAAATGTGGTCTTTGTTATCTGATGTTTGTCAACATATATAATATTTTCTTAGGCACGAGTTATTTTTGTAGGTATTACCTTTTGTATAGTCTTTAATTTGAACAAATAATTCAATTTTTCTTCATGTTTGTTTATGTTGCATGATTGATTGTAGAGATTATGTTTTTTTTAGCCGTTGATTATTTGGGTCATATAAGCATTAATTTTGATTTGTACATAATCGTGAATGATCTTTTTGTTTCGCATTTGAACTCGACAACGGTAGTTGATTTCAATAAATTTTTTACAATCTTTATAGTCAAATACATGAGTAATATTTTCATATAATTCTAAAGTTTAAATATGTATAAATAAAACCAAAAATTAATTGAACTTTGTATGATAATTGTATGTTGGACAAGTACACTGAAATAAATTATAATTTAAAAAAAAATGTTATTTGTGTTTACAGAAAAGGTAGATATATAAAATTAAAAAATCATTATTAAATCATTGAATCTTATATATTGAATCATTGAATCTTGAACATATGATTGAATGATAATATCAAAACGAATTTTGACTTCCCAATAATTATGTAGATACATCAATATTTTCATATATAATTAAATTATCATTATTGACAATAATACAAATTGTTGATTAGGATATATGAACGAACCTCTTAAAAAGTGTATGTTTTTTCCTTAATAATGATGAATATGCACTGTATGAAATTCAAAACTAACAGTAGTTTGGGACCTGATGAGTAAAAGATTTCTGACATTCATTAATGCATTGTCTGCTGTTATAATTGCAAAGAATAGGAACCATGAATGGACAAGGTGGGTCTACTTCCCTATTTTCCTTTATTTTGTCTTTTAAAGCAATGATGGTTAAAGTATACTTGAATGCTAGCCTTATAAATATTTGAATAATTTCTTTCTGAACAGTCTTCAGAGATTTTTAGGAGATGTGAGAAAATCTCACCACAATTATTTAATTGTGACTTGTATTATTAATTTGTCTAATATCAATTAAATTAAAATTAAAATTTAACATCATATTAGAGATATGTTAGTCTTACTTTGTGTAATAAACATCTTAATTAAAGTCACATGTTTATTTCAATTGTCCTTAGATAAGAAAAATATTAGAAAAATCTCTAATCGTTTATCTCAATTATTCAAATAGGATTTATATATTTATTGTCACTTTACTTATTATTAATTAATTTTAAATTAAAATCTAATAAAAAAATAAAAAATTATAAATTAAAATTAACTTAGTGATAAAATTTAACTAATAATTTAAAAATGAATAATATATTATTAATAAATAATAAAAAATATAAAAAGTTATTAAATTTAAAAATAAAAATTATAAATATACGTATAAATTATAAAAATTTAAAATAATCTCCCTCAACGTATAAAATAAGCTATTTATAAAATAAAAATTTATAATTTTATATTAAAAATTTGGTTAAATGTTTTTTTTTATTTTTGTTTTTAAATTTTCATTCTTTAATATTTTCAGTCTTAGTTTTATTTTTTTCTAAAGGTGAATCAAGATATTGAAGTTAAATTAAGAAAAGTGTTCTTCATTCCATATGATATTAATGTAATCATACTTATTGTACTAATAAATTTATGATATATAATATATTATTAATGATGTGTGTACAAAGCTGATATAAACATGAATACATAAATTTTATATTAATATTACTGTGAATAAGTATGTCAGATCATACCAATTACACTTTCTATTAAATAATTTGATGGAATTAACAAAAATATCATATTCACCAAAAAAACAATAACAAAAAAAAGTAAAAATAGTACAATTATTTTGCCTTTTGACTGTTCTATCTAGCTAACTACGGTTGGACTTATTTACCAATTTGGTGTAATTTTGTGTGTCAATTATCAATTTACTGCAAATTTTTTAAAAATTATAGATTTGATTAAGTCGTGTTTGTTTATAAATTTTGATATAAATAAATCATATTACCTAACATGACTTAAATTTTTTTTCTCAAATAAATTTATCATTAAATACATTTTTTTCAAATAAATTTATTACTGTGATTAGTCCCTCGTAAACTTTTTTTCTACCCTAATCAGTACTTATGAAAAAAAAAATAATTTCCATCTTCATTACTGGAGAGAAAAAAAAAACATGTGAACGATTTTTTTTTAATTTAAAATATCATTATTTTTGTCATAAGAAGGATCTTTTATGATATTTTATCTACAAACATTTTCCATTTTTTGAAAAAAATCAAATCAAACAAATGAAAAGAAAATTTATTACTTTCTGTACTTTCCCTTACCAAACAATTTAAATATTCATTCATTCTCATTGCATCTCATGTGACAACCTTTCATAGTTAAGGAAGCCATGTGCCTTCGGTTTCCCAAGAGTCCTCAAAAAAGTGGACATGTCTAATCCATAAACACAATAGCCACATATGAAAGAATCCAAAATACAGCATAACAAAGGGCACCATCTCTGATGAAAAGCTCTGTTACATAAGAAGATGCCAAATGCCATAGCCACATTATTTTATATCAATCAAACTCAGACATATCAGATTACTCTAATTGTCAACAAGCAAAATCATGATTCATAAATAAACACCATGTACGTACTTCATGGTCAATTAATTCAATGGGAATCTAGACCATTACCATTGAAGCATTTACCTACTCATAATATTACCCATGATTTATTTATCAGTGACTCACATTAAATATGACCAGTTTCCCAATTGGCAAACGAGTACATAAATTTCTGATAAAGGGCATCATTTTTTCTAAACCTTGTTGGCTTCACCAATCCTAGTTCCTATTAGCACTAGGCCAAGCGTAATAACTCCAGGGCTTCACCAGTGTGCATCTTATTGCTATGTCTGAGCCTCCTATAATCCTCATAAACGAAAGGTTGATACAGACGAGGGTGATGATGGTCCACCAGTTCCTCTGGGGCCTCAACATTTCCATTCCTTGGTGCCAACATGAATGTAGCAATTGAAAAACGTGTGGTGGCTTCCAGGCATTGCACACGGTGTATCAGATTGCAAAACCTTCCATTGCTCCATACCTGCATGCATCCATTTATCTCAGACTTCATCGACAGTGCCACAAGTGTAATATCTCCAAAAAAATAATAAATTGAAAAATAAGATTAACTTATCTTAATGGGTAAGTTTTATCCAAGTCATTAATGATTTGAATGGCTTCATTAAGAAAAAAAAATATGGCTATAAAAAGGACAGGGGAAGTTGTGGGTGAAAGAGAAAGAAAAGATAAAAGGAGAAAGAGAAAAAAAGAGAAAGGGGGAAAGAGAAAGGGAGAAGAGAGGAAAGAGAGAGAAAGAAACAGGAAGGGAGAGGAAAAAAAGGAGAGAAAAATAAATTGTTTTTGCAAAATTTTAGTACCTCATTCGTAGTTCTTAAAGTAGAGGAGGAGACATTCATCAATATTCTTTTGTTTTCACTTATGGTGTAGAGTGAGGTGTCTCTAACCTCATTCTATTTATTTTATTTTATCTCCAGTCTTGCACTGGTCCTATTTTACTTATCTCCAGTTATGTACTGGTCATGTTTATTTATTTTATTTTATCTTCGATCTTGTACTGATCCTATTTTACTTATCTCCAGGTTATGTACTTGGTCCTGTTTGTTTACTTTATTTTATCTCTAGTAATGCAGTGATCTTATTTATTAATTTATAGTTATATTATTTAATTATTTTTTTTATAATAATATTTATTTGTGAAGATTTGATGATATTGTAGATAGAGGTTGGACCTTGGAGATTTAAATGAGTAAATATCACTGATAGAGTGATTAAAAAAATTGGGTTCATTTATCCTGACTAGTCACTTATAAATTTAATTTAAATCTTCATAAAATAGAATGTGTTGAAGAAGTTGAAATATATATATATATATATATATATATATATATATATATTATAATATTGTATTATTGTAAATGATAAATGTTCTCACTCCCTATTGTGATCTTTTGTGCATGTTTTATTTAAACACCAACTTAAGTAGATGAAGACGCCAAATATTCCAAATTCCTTTTCTGCAAGCATCACTGCCTTCTTTCCAGGAACTACTTGGAACACGAATATTATAGACAACTCGATTATTTTTAGAGGGACAAGATTTTCAATAATAACATTTGTATCTGATATGAGAAATCCCATTATATTAGATGGACCAGTAGTGGTTACCTTTTGTATGCCTCCTATCTTTTTCCAAAACCCCTTAATCAGTTTGTTTCCACTGGCAATGTAGATACTTGTAAAATTGTAGAAAAAAAATAAAAGGAATTAAAAATAAAATTCTTTCTTCTTTTGTATATCTTATATAGTGATGTAAATTACTTTTACATATATGTAATATTTTTTGACCTCCTAATCTTATACAAATAATAAAAATAAAAAAAATGTCACATTAAATGGTATCAGAACAACGTTTCATGGGTGACCTGTAAAATGAGTCTATCATGATATCTTATGAATCCTAACTTATATAATTCCAGATGGCAAATAATAGAAGAAACAACGAGTTGATAGAAGCGGTACAAGCTATTCGAGACATGACCGGTGCATTATTAATGCCTAAAGGAACCAATGGATCACAAGGTTTAGTTGAATTTAGGAGAAACAAGCATCTACAATTTTCTGGGGGATATAACCCAGAAAAGGCTGAATTATGGATTAAAGAATTGGAAAAAATATTTTAAGTTATGAATTGTCTTGATGACCAAAAGGTGAATTATGTTGTGTTTATGTTGATGGAGAGGCTGAATATTGGTGGGATAGTACCAGGAGATTACTAGAAGGAGGAAGAATAATCATTACTTGGGAAGTGTTTAGAACAAAATTTTTAGAAAAATATTTTCCCAATGATGTGAGAAGAGCGAAAGAAATAAAGTTTATGCAATTAAAATAAGGAAGTATGACAGTAGGAGAATATGCTTCTAAGTTTGAAGAGCTAGGAAAATACTCTGCATTCTTTTATCACCCTCATGAAAGAATGAAGTGTATAAAATTTGAGAATGGACTTAGGCCCGAATTGAGAAAAGCGGTAGGAATACTAGAAATTTCTGATTTTCCTACGCTTATTCATAAATGCAGATTTTTGGAAGATTTTGAAAATCATCAAAATAGTAAACCAAAATCTTTTGGACCCCAGCATAATAAAATGAGACAAAATGAAGAAAAACCTTACAACCGCCCCCACTGGAGATCCCAACCCAATCAATTTTCTGCAGGAAATTTTAATAACCGTATAAATAATCAGCTCAAGTGTTTTAAGTGTGGACAGGATCATTATGCTAAAGATTGTCATCTTAAAAGACCTGTCTGTTTTAAGTGTAGAAAACCTGATCATATATTCTCTGAATGTCGGCAACAAAAACCAAATTATGATTCTTCTACACCAAAAAGAAGACCTCCGACAACAGGAAGAGTATATACCATAAATGGAACTGAAGCTTCTCAGAATAATGATTTGATCCAAGGTATGTGTTTCATTAAAGGCAAAACTTTAAATATACTATATGACTCATGCACAACTCATTCATTTATTTCCAATGATTGTGTCCAATACCTTGAATTGCCGACTTCTTTTCTAGATAATAGTTTGATTGTTTCAACTCCCACAAGTAAGTCTGTAATCACCAATAAAATTTGTCTAGATTGTCCTTTGTTCATTGAAAACAGGAAATTCTTTGTAAATTTAATTTGTATACCTTTATCTCAATTGGATGTAATCCTGGGTATGGACTGGTTATCTTCCAATCAAGTCCTTTTAAATTGTGCAGAAAAATCAGTAGTATTTTCAAATTCTGAAAATCTTTTGAGTTTCTCTACCAACTCAGTAAATGAGTCTTTGAAGAACAAAATTTAAGGATATTTGTTACTATCTTCTGTAGAAGTAAAGAGGAAGTCGATTTGAAAAAAATAACAGTTGTTCAAAAATTTTCTGAAGTTTTTCTTGATGATATTCCTGGTTTACCACCCAACAGAGAGATTGAATTTTCAATAGATTTAATGTCTGGAACTGGACCAATTTTTATGGCACCATATAGGATGTCCCCTTCTGAACTGACAGAACTGAAGAAACAATTGGAAGAATTACTTGGAAAACAATTCATTCGTCCTAATGTATCACCTTGAGGAGCATCTGTTTTATTAGTTAAGAAGAAAGATGACAGTTTTAGGTTGTGCGTAGATTATCGTCAGTTAAATAAATTCACCGTAAAGAATAAATACCCTCTTCCAAGAATAGATGATTTGTTAGATCAATTAAATGGAGCTTCTGTATTTTCTAAAATAGATTTAAGATCATGATATCACCAAATTAGAGTAAAGGCAGAAGATGTACAAAAGACTACATTTAGAACTAGGTATGGTCATTATGAATATAAAGTGATGCCTTTTGGTGTGATCAATGTTCCTGCAATATTTATGGATTATATGAATATGATTTTTCATCCATTTTTAGATTATTTTGTTGTGATTTTTATAGATGACATTCTTATTTATTCTAAAACTTTTGAAGATCATGCGGACCACCTTCAAGTTGTTCTTCAAATTTTGAAAGACAAACAATGGTATGCTAAATTGTCTAAGTGTGAATTTTGGTTAAAAAAGTGAAATTTTTAGGTCATGTGATTTCCAAAGAGGGAGTGTCAGTAGACCCAACTTAGGTGGAAGCAATTCTACAATGGGATCCACCAAAAACAGTGACTGAGATTCGTAGTTTCCTGGGTTTGGCCGGATATTATAGGAGATTCATTGAAGGATTTTCTAAAATGGCTATGCCTTTAACCCAACTCACCAAGAAAGGTCAAACTTTTGAATGGACAAAAAAATGTGAAAATAGTTTTCAAGAACTTAAGAAAAGATTAATCACTTCTCCTATACTAGCATTACCTAATCCAACTGGATATTTTGTGATGCTTCCAAAATGAGATTAGGATGTGTTCTTATGCAAGATAGAAGGGTAGTTGCATATGTCTCAAGACAATTAAGAACACATGAAAAAAATTATCCAACTCATGATCTAGAACTAGTCGTCATTGTTTTTGCACTCAAAATATGGAGACATTATGTGTATGGTGGTAAGTTTGAGGTTTTTAGTGATCATAAAAGTCTTAAATACTTGTTTGATAAAAAAGAGTTAAATATGAGACAGAGAAGATAGATGAAATTTTTAAAAGATTATGATTTTGAATTACATTACCATCCAGGAAAGGCAAATGTAGTAGCAGACGCTTTAAGCAGAAAATCATTACATGTGTCTTCCCTTATTATTCATGAGATGAGTCTGTTAGAAGAGTTCAAAAACATGAATTTATCAATTACCATGAATCCTGATAGAATAAAATTAAATTTAACTCAGATTATTAGTGGATTACAAAGACAAATTCAAGAGGCACAAGTAGTTGATGAATTTATTCAAAAGAAAAAGAAGTTGATAGGACAAAAGAATGGAGAAAAATTTGGCATGGATAAAACAGGAATTTTGAGATTTAGTGGTAGAGTATGTGTGCCTAATAATGTAGAGATTAGAAAGTTGATTTTAGATGAAGCACATAAGAGTAAATTGAGCATACATCCAGGCACAACAAAAATGTATCAAGATCTTAAGAAAATATTTTGGTGGCCTAAAATGAAGAAGCAAGTAACACAATATCTAGCATCATGCTTAGTTTGTCAAAAAGCTAAGATAGAACATCAAAGGCCTGTAGGGATGTTACAATCTTTAGACATACCTGAGTGGAAATGAAATAGTATTGCAATGGACTTTATAGTTGGCTTATCACGAACAATTCAAAAATTTGATTTCATATGAGTTATCGTGGATAGGTTGACAAAATCTGCTCATTTTCTACCCATTAACATCAGGTATTCATTGGAGAAACTGACTGAATTGTACATAAAAAAATTATGAAGTTACATGGAGTTCCATCTAGTATTATTTCTGACAGGGATCCTAGGTTTACTTATAAATTTTGGGGAAGCCTACATCAAGCCTTAGGAACTAAGCTTCATCTTAGCTCAGCTTATCATCCTCAAACTGATGGACAATCAGAAAGAACCATTCAGTCCTTGAAAGATTTGTTGAGAGCATGTGTGTTAGAAGACTCTGGTAGCTGGGACCGATACTTATCATTAATTGAATTTACTTATAACAACAGTTTTCATTCTAGTATAGGTATGACACCCTATGAGGCATTGTATGGGAGAAAATGTAGGACACCTTTATGTTGGTTTGAAACTGGAGAAAATTTAATCTTAGGTCCTGACATGATTCAACAAACCACGGAGAAAATTAAGATGATTAGGAAAAAATTAAGAACAACTCAAAGTCGACAGAAAAAATATGCCGACAAGAGAAGACTACCCCTTGAATTCCAAGAAGGTGAACATGTATTCTTAAAAGTAATACTGACAACTGGAGTTGGTAAAGTAATGAAAGCCAAGAAACTCACTCCTCGATTTATTGGTCCCTATCAAATTCTTAGAAAAATAGGTCTTGTTGTTTATCAAATTTCCTTACCCCCTTTTCTTTCTAATCTTCATAATGTGTTTCATGTGTCTCAATTAAGAAAATATATTTCTGACCATTCTCATGTAATAATGTCAGATACAATACAATTAAAGGATAACCTTACATTTGAAACAATGTCTGTACAGATTACAAATATGAAGATCAAGCAACTGAGAGGAAGACAAATCTCACTAGTGAAGGTTGTTTGGAATAAAATTACTGAAGATGCTACATGGGAATTAAAAAAGAAAATCAGAAAAAGTTACCCCTATCTATTTTAGTCGTTAAAAATTTCGAGGACGAAATTTCTGTAAATATAGGAGAAATGTAATATCTAAAAAATAATAATAAATTGAAAGATAAAGTTAACTTATCTTAATGTATAAGTTTTATCCAAGTCATTAATGATTTTAATGACTTCATTAAGAAAAAAATAAAAAAAATTAAAAAAAATATGACTATAAAAAGGGATAGGGGGGAAGTTGCGGGAGAAAGAGAAAGAAAGAGAAAAGAAGAAAGAGAAAGGGAGAAGAGAGGAAAGAGAGAGAGAGAAAGAAAGAAATAAATTGGAAGGGAGAGAAAGATAATTCGTCTTTGTAAAATTTTGGTACTTCATCCGCAGTTTTTAAGGTAGGAGAGAAGACATTCATCAATATTTTTTTGTTTTCACTTATGGTGTAGAGTGAGGTGTCCTTAACCTCATTCTATTTATTTTATTGTATCTTTAGTCTTGCACTTGTCCTATTTTACTTATCTCCAGTTATGTAATGGTTCTATTTGTTTATTTTATTTTATCTCCAGTCTTGCATTGATCCTATTTTACTTATCTCCAATTATGTACTGGTCTTGTTTGTTTATTTTATTTTATCTACAGTCTGACACTGGTTCTATTTTAATTATCTCCATTTATGTACTGATCATGTTTGTTTACTTTATTTTATCTCTAGTAATGCAACGATCCTATTTATTAATGTATAGTTATATTATTTAATTATTTTTTTATAATAATATCTATTTGTGAATATTTGATGATATTGTAGATGAATGTTGTACCTTGGGGATTTAAATGAATAAATATCACTGATAGAGTGATTAAAAAAATTGGGCTAATTTATCATGACTAGTCACTACAAATTTAATTTAAATCTTCATAAAATAGAATGTGTTCAAGAAGTTGAATATATATATATATATATATATATATATATATATATATAATAAGATTGTATTATCGTAAATGATAAATGTTCACACTCCTTATTGTGATCTTTTGTGCATGTTTTATTTAAACACCAACTTAAGTAGATGGATGCACCAAATATTCCAAATCCCTTTTCTGCAAGCATCACTGCCTTCTTTCCAGGAACTACTTGGAATACGAATGTTATAGACAACTCGATTACTTTTAGAGGGACAGGATTTTCAATAATAACATTTGTATCCGATATGAAAAATTCCATTATGTTAGATGTGTCAGTAGTGATTACCTTTTATATTCCTCCTACATTTTTTTAAAACCCCTTAATCAGTTTGTTTCTACCAACAATATAGATACTTATAAAATTATAGAAAAAAATAAAAGGAATCAAAAATAAAATTTCTTCTTCTTTTGTATATCTTATATAATTTTGTATATCTTATATAATCATTTAAATTACTTTTACATATATAATATTTTTTTACCTTCTACTTTTATAATAATAATAATAATAATAATAATAATAATAATAATAATAATAATAATAATAATAATAATAAATGTCAGAATAAGGATTTGATTACTGGTTGGAATAGACTTACTCTAGCAATGTCTCCCAGATTGACTAGAAGAGTCCCAGGGAAAGGAGGGATTGACACAAAGGAACCAGAAGAATCCTTCACTTCAAGGCCACCAACATTTTCATCATCCTGAAGAATGGTTAAGAAGCCTGAATCTGTGTGGATTTGAACTCCACTGGTCCCCACAGCTTCTGGGGTGAAGTTATATTTGTTAATTCTAAACTGACATGGCCAATCCTGGAAATCAGCACCTACTACTCCTAGAGATTCAGCCATCTTTTGTCCTATCTTCACTGCCAAACCATGAATTGCCTCCCCATATGTCTCCATTATTTGCCTGTCAAAATCAACAGAAGCTTGACAAAACAAAGCCAATATGGAATTGCCTTAGGTTGGAGTGGGACCAAAATAAACATTATAAGCAATACCAGAGATAAAATAAATATCAATACAATATTATATTATTTGAATACTTAATTTATCAACATATTAATATTTGATTTGTCAACATGTTGTTAATATGTTCTCAACTAATCATCATCATTCTAAAGTTAAACCATAGGTTTCGACATTGGTTAGCTTTTATTTTGTTAACAACGAGAAATAATATTATGAATCAAATTTAACAATAATAACCACAAAATAATTCAGAAAAAAAAAAAAGAGAGAAGAGATGGATGAAGTGAAAGAAAGTAACCTCTGGTGATTAGAGGCATGAAGTTGAGAGCAGAAATTGTGCATAGCTTGTGAAGAACCCAAATCATAGAGGCCTAAGGCCTCATAGTGAGGGTTCACAGCACTTGGTGCCATGTAGCCACTGCCAGCAATGACTTCTGTGTTGCGTTTTTTGATCTCCAAAGGAAGATCAAGCAAAGCTTCAATCACCTTCTTCATCTCACCCATCAGGGTTGCAGGAATAGAGTGGTTAATGACCCTGAAACAACCCCATCTTTCACATGCCTCTCTTAGCTTCTTGCACTCCCCTTCCTCACAGTTAATCTTCTCCATATCAACCACTGGAATTTTCGTCTCCTCCATAGTACTATCCCTATACTGTTGTCTCTTCCTGTGGAGTTCACACAAGAGATATACTCTAACATGTGTTTGTATATATATTATGTTATAAAGGACTATTTATTCACCCTTTTCTCTATTTTTAATTACACACGTTTTTTTTGTTACGTTCAGTAGTTAATATATTGTTTAATAGGTAACTTTTCTTTTTGTGTGTTAGGTGTGGTCACTTTCTTTATTCATTGCTTTTGAGCCAACTGCAGAAGTTGGGGAACATGGTGGTAACATCTTTCCTTTTTATCGGTTCTTCTGAATCCCCAGTAGGATACATGCTAGTACAAAAAATTTGAGTTTCTGGCTAATCTAATTATTGAGTCTTTGATCAATAATAATTTAAACAAAATTATTTCAAAACTGCGAAATGTGACCCAAATACTGAAATCTGTATTCACTACTAGTTCATGTTTATGTGGGAATGTGTAATTTTATTAGAAAATGTCAAACTTTGATGTCTTTAAGAAATCAGATCTTTTTTTTTTTTTCTTTTAATTTATACATGAAGATGAGGAAGCAAATTCAACCACGATGTTCTGTCGATCCATCGTTTACCTATGCAAAAAGAAATTATTTTTTAAACTTCAAGTAACTTTACTAAAAAAATATTATTCCTGTTTTCTTTTTTCTACTATGATTATGAGTGGTAGTTCAATTTTTCTTTTTCCTTCAAGTAAAGTTCATTAGACAAATAAAATAAGGTTGTATGTAGAACTAATAATAATAATAATAATAATAATAATAATAATAATAATAATAATAGCACCTTACATTCTACTTAATTATTACATCTTCATGTCATACCTTTGTATTATAAAATAAATTATTGTCGTTAAAGTTGAAGTTGTTCTTGTTTTTTATTTTTTATCTTCTCTGTATTGGCGTCATAAGAGGGAGGATTTGTTTTATGGGAAGAAATTTCATCACTTTGTATCTACTGAAGATAAGATTGATGTAGGTTCCATGGACCCATCTGAAAAAGTCGTAAGCTTCAGGTAATAAGAAACATTTTTAAACTAATACAAATTAAATAAAAAGAGTCTATATTAAAATCTAGGGTTTTTTTTCCTCAATTCTCATCTTTAACCTAATACAAAATTAGTTTTCCAAAAAATACAATTATTTTTTGACATTTTAAAAAATATATGTAAAAAATAGTTAGTGTTGGTCTTTTTTATCCACTGTTTTAATTCAGGTAATAAAAAAAATTATTTGTGCAACTTTTTACACATCAAACCAGTTCTTTGTAAACTCTCTTTTCTATCCAACTATTTTTATTGTTTAAAGAAAACAAAATTGTAACCTTTTCTCATCAATGTTATAATTTAACACTAATTTTTTTATAAAAAAATGTCTCATAAGATATATTTTATTTTATAGTGAATTCATTAATCACAAATAGACATAAGGAATGACCACAACTATTTTCAAGATTTTTTTTTCAGCTCTTTTTAAAGATTAAAAAGATAAATTACGTTTGTTTGTTTGGATTAAAAAATTATATCAAATCAAGTGACTAAAGCTTAAATTTTTCTACTTTTACAAATTGAATACTACTACATTGAAATATATTACTGACATGTGACTATTTTGATTATTGACTAAGTCAAACAGTTAATTTAACCAATAAGTTTATGTGATTATTTTATTTGAAAAAGTAGGATGATTTCCACTTGGAAGTTGCTAATCTCACTAGAGTTATTTTGTACAATCTTAAAATATAAAAATTATACATAGTGAGAATGTAATAAAAATAATAAACTCTTTTACACTTATTATTAAAGGAAACGAAATTCTTTTACACTTATTATTAAATAAATACGGAGGCGTAAATGTAAATAATAAATTTTTAAAAAACTAATTTTGTTCATATTACCCAAATACAATTAATAAAAGTATATTATAACCTGTTGCATAATGTATATATTTATATGTGAACAAGTAAAATATTAAAAATATATGTACATGATTCAACTATACATCTTGCATCTCAGAAAAAATTACAACCTATCAAGCCTGTGCAATCCTGTTAATTGGGAACTGATGATACAACATTCCAAAATCTAAAATACAGCAAATGGCCAATGACCAATCCTGCTAGAAGCTATTAGTGCATTCTTATTTGTCTAGAGTTTCTACATAGAGTGTCTGCCATCACTCCTCTCTTTAGTTGGTCTTTCTTCTTGGATTTCTTCCAAATCTTCATCCTCTCCTCTCCTACCTGCTTGCTCCTTCCAATATGCAACCAATTTCTTCAGTCGAGCTATTTCTTTAGAAGAAACATTTTTGCTTGGATCATTCACAATTGATCTCACTCGTGATGCATACCTAAATTAGCATAACACTTAAGATTATTGGCACAAGAAAATATTAGCCATATAAAACATTGGGTTAGTTAGTTATGTTTTCTGCATGTTTCACTTTTAGTTCTTAAACAAAATTCTGTTTTTGGTCCCTATATCTTTCCTCAATTTTAATCCCTACTGTAAAAATTTGTTAATTTTTGGTAAAAAAAAAAATTACACATTTGTCTCATCAAACTCATTAATGACAGAACAAGTCATGTCACTAGTTCATGTTGTTACTTGACAGTAGAAACTGCAAAAAAGAATATAAGAATAAAAAACATTGGAGACTAGATGTTAAACTAGCAAAATGTTGAGAGTAAAAAATAAGTAGCCCAAAAACTACTGAAGATTTGAATGTAAACTTTTTAAGTTTAAATAAAGAAAACAATGACTGAAAAAATACATACATTAGAGAGTTATGCGTCTCATCCAAGCTTGATTCTGTTGGAGATACATTCACAAACATGAGAGTTTTGGCATTACCCCCAAGTGAATCACTCATCAACATCGTTAACTTGTGATTTCTGTAAGGTATGTGTTGACCACCAGAAGACAAAGCACTAATAACATCTCCTAGTGCTGATAATGATTTGTTGATACTTTGAGCTTCTTTAAGTTGATTACCTGCTGAGCCTGACTTTTTAACTCTTTCTGAGCCAGCAAGATCCACAAAACTTAACTGTATGATAAATTCAAAATAACAGATTTAGCATCTATAATGCCTCAAGTTTATCAAATACTAATGTTTCAAATTGTTCCATAGTTCATATATATTTATACTTTTGTTCAAGGTAAACGACAAGTAATGTATAATAATACCTTTCCCCTTGCAGTTGATTGGCTTTGAAGGTTGGTACTTTCAATGACAATTGATAATATGAGATGAGATCTTGAGCTTTCGTCATTCATTTGTGTCCCTGATGTATGTCGCTGCTCAGATCCCCTCTGTATTATGCTATTTAGTTCCTCCACGGTAGATATGGACACAACTGTTACGTTTTCTACTGCTACCATTCCCTAAAATTTGAGTGAAACAAAACAATAAAAAATTTGGACATGAAATCCATGAATATAAGAAAATGGGTAAGCCTACAATTTTGGCAGATCCAATTTATAATTCTTTGCATTGAAGAAAAAAAGATCTTAAATGGAAATTTATATTCACAGCATAAGGAAAATCAACCTTTGAATCTTTCTTAATATCCAATTTTAAACGCTTGGCATTCTTGAGTAACAGAAGATCTACAAGTGTATCTTGATATAACTCCAACATATATGCCTGCATCAAAAAAGATACAAAAGTGGTCTAAATCAGACAACAAAGACAGACTTTTGCAGAACTCATGATTTGTTGTGGTTAAGTTACTGAACATCGAACAAATTAATTGAAAGACAAAGGGGAAAAATATAATTTAACCATTTAGCCATGCGAAGTAATTATATATACATTCAGAAGATTTAATGACACCATATTTATAAAACACAGAGAAATATTCATTAATTGACATTTCACCATTGCTACCTTCAAGGAAAAAGAATACTTGTTACTATCTCTCCTTAAAATCCTAAAAAGTTCTGCAGTGGCACGAGGGGTGAGCCCAGGATTGCTTTCAGCTCCATAGATTGTAAAAGTCTTTCCAGAGCCAGTTTGACCGTAAGCAAATATGCAAACATTATAACCATCTACCGCAGATTGCACTAGGTACTGCATTGAAAATGTCCAAAGAAAAACGTTAGTTAGTACGTAGTATAAAACTTATTAAATCTATTTCAATGTATTTATCATCTAAAGCAAAAAGCAACTATGGTCTTTAAGTTGTTATACTAAGACTTGCCCTTGTATCCTCAAATACATCTTCTTGACTGGCATCACCATCAAATACACGGTCATAAATGTGCTGTTTTGGTTTATCATCTTTCCATGGGTGCTCAAGCGTAAACTCATCCACGGTAGTAAGAGAATCTCTTTCTTTGTTTGCAATCTCTTTTTCACTAAGAGGTCTTAACCGACAATAAACTCTTATCTTGCCTTTCATATCTGAAATAATAATAATAATAAAAAAAAAAAAGTCAAATTCAGTCGTAGTTATTATGTCAGTATGTAAATCTACACATTCACATATTATACGTAATAATTTTTGTGTAGATACTTTCTCAATCACCACCTTCTATGGTATTAAAATATCGCTTTCTGAGAACCTGCTCTTCCTTATAAAGCAATTCCATTTCATTTAGTTGAGCCGCTTGCATCTTCAGAATGGCAGCTGTTTGTTCATTCTTTCTATCAATGTCCTACATGTAGCATTTATAAATAAAAAATTAAATTTATACACTCAAAGTGAATGGATGTAGCATTCTCTCAATGAAAATGAAATAAGAGGACCAAAACCTCTTTCATTTCTCTCAATTCTTCTAGTTCATCTAAATTGTTCTTCAATGCAGCCAATTCAGTGTCCTTAACCGAAAGTGTAGACTTGGCCACAGTCAAATCTTGTCTAAACATATCAAGTTTTCGTTCAAGGTCATACACTTGAGAGTTCACAGTCTTGCGTTCTTGGTCAAGTTTACATTGAAGAGAACTAATCTGCATTACAGCCACCACCAAGATTGATTGAACATCAT